TATCCATTCATTTTTAGAGAGAGAGAAAGCATGTATATGAGTGAGCGTGAAGAGGGGTATAGGGAGAGGGAGAGAATCTCTAGCAGAATCCCCACTGAACCAGAGGCAGGGCTGGACACAGGGCTTGATATCAAGACCCTGAGATCATGATCCCGAGATCATGACCTGAGCCGAAACCAAGAGTCAGACGTTCAACCAACTGAGCCACCCAGATGCCCCTATAACTGGAAGCTTGTACTTCTTGATCTTCTTTACCTACCTGGTGTTCCCTCAAGCCTCCCTCCCTTCTGGCAACCATCAACCTATTCTCTGTATGTATGAGTTTGGTTTGGGTTTGTCCACCAATTTTTTTTGTTTTTTGGATTCCAGCTCTAAGTGAAATCAAGCAGTATTTGTCTTTCTTTTTCTGACTTATTTCACTTAGCATAATACCCTGTAGGTTCATAGGTAATGCCACAAATGGCAAAATTTCATTCTTTTTTATAGCTGTGTAGAATTACAATTGTGTCTCTATGTATACATATATATGTATACATACACACATCTTTTTTTAATATATTATTTATTTATTTACTTAATTTATTTGACACAGAGAGAGAGAGCGTGTGCACATAAGCAGGGGGAACAGTGGCAGGAGAGGGAGAAGCAGGCCTCCCACTGAGCAGGGAACCCAATGCAGGACTCTATCCCAGGACCCTGGGATCATGACCTGAGCCAAAGGCAGATGCTTAACTGACTGAGCCACCCAAGCACCTCATGCCACATCTTTTTTATCCATTCATTCATCAATGGCTACTTAGGTTGTTTGCTTATCTTGACTAATGTAAATAATGCTGCAAATAACATAAGGTTGCCTCTATCTTTTCAAATTAGTATCTTTTTTTTAAAATAAACACCCAGAAGTGAAATTGCTGGATCTTATGGTAGTTTTTTAATTTTTTGAGAAACCTCCATACTGTTTTTCACAGTGGCTGCACCAATTTATACTCCCATCAACAGTGCATGAGGGTTCCCTTTTCTCCACATCCTTGCAAATGCTTTCTATTTTTTGTCTTTTTGATTTTAACCCTTCTGAGAGGTGTGAAGTGATATCTCATTGTGGTTTTGATTTGCATTTCCCTGATGACAACTGATGCTGAGCACCTTTTCATGTGCCTGTTGGCCATCTGTATGTCCTCTTTGGAAAAATGTCTATTTAGATCCTCTGCCCATATTTTAACTGGGTTATTTTTTTACATTATGTAAGATTTTTATATGTTTTAAATATTAGCTTTTATCAAATGTATGATTTGCAAATGTAAGTTACCTTCTCATTTTCGTGGTTATTTCTTTTGCTGGCTGAAGCTTTTCAGTTTGATGTAGTCCCAGTTGTTTATTTTTCTTTTGTTACTATTGCTTCTAGAGTAAGATCTAAAAGGATATTGCTAAGAACAAGGAGCTTATTACCTATGTTTTATTCTAGGAGTTCTATGGTTTCTGGTCTTACATTCAAGTCTTTAATCCATTTTGAGTTAATTTTTGTACTGGATGGAGGATAGTGCTTTAGTTTCATTCTTTTGTATGTGGTTGCTCAGTCTTCCCAACACTATTTATTAAAGACACTCTCCTTCCTTGCCTCCTTTGTCATAAATTGACCATATATGCATGGGGGCTTATTTCTGGGCCCCCTATTTTGTTCCACTAATCTATTTGTCTGTTTTTATGCCAATGCCAAAGTGTTTTGATTACTGTAGCTTTATAGTATTGTCTGCAATCAGGGAGTGTGTTGCCTCCAGCTTTGTTCTTTTTTTCTCAGGATAGCTTTGGCTATTTAGGACCTTCTGTGTTTCCATACAAATTTTAATTTTTTTTGTTCTATTTCTGAGAAAAATGCCATTGGAATTTTGATAAGAATTGCACTGAAATATGTAGATTGCTCTGGGAGGGATAGACATTTTAACAATATTAATTCTTCTTGTTTTCAGTAGTCCTTCATCTCTGTGATTAAATTTGTATCTAGGCATTTTATTTATTTATTTATTTTTTGGCATCTTATTCTTTTTGATGCAATTGCAAAGGGGACTATTTTCTTAACTTCTTTTTGATAGTTCATTGTTAGTGTATAAAAATGCAACAAATTTTTGTATACCAATTTTGTACCTTGCAACTTTCCTGAATTCATTTGTTCTCACAGTTTTTTGGTGGACTCTTTATGGTTTTCTACATATAAAATCATGTCATCTGTAAATAGTGATAATTTCATGTCTTCCCTTCCAATTAAATGCCTTTCATTTCTTTTTCTTGTCTAATCGTTCTGGCTAGGACTTCTAATACTATGCTGAAGTTCAGTAGTAAGTGTTTGCATTCATGTCTTGATTCTAATTTTAAGGGTAAAGCTCTCAGCTTTTTGCCATTGAGTATGATTTCGACATCTCAAACTTTTAAAGACAGTGTAATTGGAACACAAAAGATGTCATTATATACTCCATTCTTTCCATGGATAATTACTGAGGACTGAATACCACAATGTAGATAAAAGGTATGTATCATCACTGGCTTACTAGGGTCCATAATGAGAAAGGAAACTAATCAAAAAAGCAATTGCAGTACAATGTGATTTTCATGTTGTCCACATTGATACTGGCACTGGAGGAAAGCCTAACCCAGAGAAGAAAAACACAGAAGCCTTCCTCAAACATCAAGTTTTTAGTTAGCAATAAAGAGTTGATTAAAGACGGGAGAAGGGTGCAGGATGAGGAGAACAATATATTTCTGAAAGAAGGAATAGAATGAAGAAAAGCAAGAGAAAAAATGGCATATTTAAACAATTTTTTGAAAATTCAAGCTGACTGTGTAAGAATGATGAATCACAGACCTGTACCCCTGAAAAAAATAATACATTTTATGCTAATAAAAAATAAAAAAATAAATAAAAATTCAAGCTGAGGGACGCCTGGGTGGCTCAGTCAGTTAAGCTCCTGCCTTCAGCTCAGGTCATGATCCCAGAGTCCTGGGATGGAGTCCCGCATCGGCTTCTTGCTCAGCGGGAAGCCTGTTTCTCCCTCTGCCTGCCGCTCACCCTACTTGTGCTCTTTCTTTCTCTCTCTCTCTGACAAATAAATAAATAAAATCTTAAAAAAAAAAAATACAAGCTGGTAGAACCTATTTTGGAAGGGAGGAGGGGTGAGAAATGAAGGTAGAAAAGTAAGCAATGGTCAAATAATATAAAAACTTCTAAAGCCATGTCAAATAGCTGGAGTTGATCCAAGGAAAACAAGGAACAAAGATTTATAGGTAGTTATGATAATCTGATTAGATTTAGGGAAAGATTTAGGAAGATCACTCCTACTACTTTGTCTGGGATGGACTGTAGCTAGACAAGTCTGTGGAAATAAAAATAAAAACTAATACCAAGTTTGAGAACACTCAAAATACTGTGGAATAAGAAAAAGTCATCACCGTGAGAAAAAGCCTGGCTTCTCCTGGAGGAATAGAGACTATTCAGAGCAGAGGCTCCCCCTAATTTACCTACAAGCAGACCCTATATACACTAACACACCCAGTCAAAAATGGGTTCCACATCAGATGACCCACACAGCTTACCTGATATATTCATGAGAAATAATTAATAGTTACTGTTTTTTACCCACTGAATCTAGGAGTGGTTTGTTATAGAGCAATATTTAAGTGGTAAAAAATACCTGATTCGATCTTGGCTTGTGAAAAACAATTAAGGAATCAAGTGAAATAAATTTTTTTCCTAATTTTTTTTATAATTGAGGGTGTTAAAAATAATCTTCCCCTGAGAGTCAAAATCATGTGCTAATATTTACCCAATGTCATCAATCCCTATACTGAATAACTGAGTTTTAAATTTTATCTTGTTTGGGAGATAAGTTGTCCATCAAGACATAATTATTACAACTTTTAAAATGAGTTGGCATTTTATTTTATGTGTATTAATGGAATGAGACCTCCTCCACCACCACCCTCATTAGTGTTTTTCCCCATGAATTCCTAGTTAACCATAATTAATTTTAACATCACTGATGTCAATTTTAAGGGATATATACTATTATGGGTGAACTATGTCCAAAAAGATATGTTGAAATCCCAATCCCTAGATCTGTGAATGTGAGCTTATTTGGGAAAAGGTCCTTGAAGACATCAGCAAGTTGAGATAAGGTTGCATTGCTTTAGAGTGGGCCCTCAATCCAATGCCTGGTGCCTATTACAAATACAAGTTTGGGGAGAAGTCTATGTGAAGACAGAGAGGGATCTGAGTGAAGCCTTTACATGCCAAGGAACACCAAATACTGTTGCCAATTACCAGAAACTAGAAGAATCAAGGATGGATTCCACCCTCAGAGCCTTCAGAGAGTAAGACCTGCCTTCACACCTTCACTTTCATTTCAGACTTCTAAGCTACAGAACTCTGACAAAAACAAACTGCTGTTGTTTTAAGTCACCCAGTTCATGGTACATATCTACAGCAGCCTTAGAAAATAAAAACAGGTATTTCACTTTTTTAGAAGGAAAAAATTTGCATATATCACAGATCATGAGTTATACTGCTTGTGTTTTAACCCTAAAAGGCTTCAATTTTAAGACCTGAATATTTGTAGGACCTAATAACTTAATATTTGTGTTGATTTGCCTGATAAAATGTTCTTTCCTATAAAGCCATTTGGTAAAAGTGCAACAACTTTTACTTTATTCCCAGTACTCTTTCCATGATGCCAAATTCAAAAGTTTTTCAATTATCAAATTAATCTGAGCCACAGAAAAGCTACCACAAGTATCTTCTCCAGAGAGACTTGGGAAAGGCCTCAATTTCCTATTGTCAAGTCTTAATTTACATGATTTCACCATCTTCATTAACTTCAACCTTCAGAAAAACACTAAAAATGATCTCATGGCATCACTCTGTAAGGAATAGATCTTAATGTTTCCATAAAAACTAAGGAGGCTAACCAAAAGTGAAGTGAAATAAAGACAATCTTCCCTTGTGGGAAGCTTACCTTTTAGGGCAGTTCTTTGGACCACATACTGTGGAGGTATTGTATATCAAAGATCCCTAGAATAAAAATAAAAAATATACAAATAAATACACTTTGCAAGTATAAATAAGCTTATGTGTAGCTGATACTTAACTATTGCCATTCTAAAATTAAATTAGGAGGAAATGAAAATTAATATGGTCAATATGAATCTTCAGCTTGATAGAACTGCCCAGATGAGGAGCCAGGATGCCAGCTTCCTTTCTCTGTTTTGTCTCCCACCAGCTGTGTGACTATTGACCAGTCAATTCACCACTCTAACCTTTCTTTGTTAGTATAATGGCTCTAGGAGCCTGTGATATTTTGTGGTATTCAGATTCAATAAAAAAGACAATTTCTAAAGAACGTATATTACAAAAGCTTATAAAATAATGAAAAGGTGAACAATGAACTAGAAAATATCTGGTGGGTTTTGCTAGACATATGAATATGTAAAATGAGAGCAACAATAACAAAAACAAAACACTCTCTCCATAAATATGGTAATATATCTTCTCTTAAAGCCACCAAGTTAATCTTTAATTGCAAAATAATTCTGTGCCTGAGAGTAATTTCCCCTGAAGCAATACTGTTTCCCTCTGAGGAAAAAATATATATAATATTACCCAGAATAAATGTATATATTCATACCTTCAAGTTTATGTATATGTATGTATCTTCTAACCAAGTTTCTATTGTAGAAAACTTTACTTTTGAGCAAAATAACTGTCTTATAATTTTTTTATAATTAAAATATCATTTTATGTAGATCAATATAGATTGGCCACTCAGAAATATCATTACACAAGTCCAGTCTAATTTACATTTAAATATAGTATAATTGATTAGGATAAAAATATTTTACTTTCCTGATTAACCATAAATACATTATCACTTATTAAGATTATGGTAGCCCCTGCTGCGTATCATAATAATTCATCACTATATTAAGTACCTAACTACCTTTACTTTCAAGTTAATATCAATAATGTCCAGAAGGTAAAGACCAAATATGTCTTCTTTATATTGTTAATATATCCAGAAATGTAACTTATCTTTTTTTAATGTCCTTTCTTAGATATTCCCCCAAAATAAATAAAGTGCCACAATGATTATGACAAATGAAAGGAAATATTTCTTATGAAATAGACAAAAATCCTATATTCAAGTTAATAATGAATCAGAAATAAATCACCATTTGTTTTATGTTACTATGGTCAGTCACCAGCTCTATGTATGTGAGTTGGCTACAAAAGTTCAGTGCCTACCTCAAAGTCTAACTTTTTGTTACATTAGGGATAGCCACTGATAAGAAGAAAAGTTCTATTTATAGCTATTGGCATGACTTGCAACTCCAGCTTACAAATCCGTAACAACAGCTAAAAACTGATAATAAACCATAAAAAACAAAACCACAACTTTGATCAAGGGTTCATTCTTTCTTTTCAAGTATTACTAAAACTTGACACACACACACATATGTACATACATACATAAATATATTCTTCACAGAATGCAAGTAAATATTATATTTGTGCAATTAAGGATATAGATTTGAAATGAAAACTTAGGTTCCAATTTTATTCATTAGAAAATAATTATGTTCCTCTTTTAAAAGCACAAGTTCTGGGACAGCTGCCTGAGATGGGGTAATGGTCCAATTATTTACTAGCCATGTGATCTTGAGCAATTTATTAACTAACGTAAGTCTCAATTTCACCTGTGAAGTGGGGACATAGCATTATTCGGCCTCAAAGAACAACTGAAAATTAAATAACATAATGCAATTTAGGTATTTAGTCTTCCACCTGGCATATGGAACACCAGTAGTAATAGTATAGTAATAGTGGTAAAAGATTCTCATATATCATAAATGGTTTCATGAAGAAGGATTATACATATGAAAAGCAAAGTTAGCACCTAAAAGCAATACATACTACCAAATGTTTTCCCACTGTCTGAAATATTTAGCATTAGGGGTACCTGGGTAGTTAAGTCCATTAAGCATCTGCCTTAGGCTCAGGTCACAATCCCAGGATCCTGGGATAGAGCTCCCTGCTCAGCGGGGAGTCAGTTTCTCCCTCTCCCTCTGTCCCTCCCCTTTCCTCCTGCTCTCTTGTGCACTCTCTCTCTCTTAAATAAATAATCTTTTTAAGAAAATTTTTTAAAATAAGGTATTTACTATTAAATTCATCCCTTTGATTTTTGGAATTGCTCCCAGAGGGAAAACTGGCCAAAAGAAATTACCTATTAGATGGGCAAACATGAATACATTTATCAGATTTGTTAGCTGTCATGGAGCAAAGAACAGAGCCCAAAAGAATGGAAGGTAGGTTGGAAAAAAGGAGGAATATCTAGGACTGATCCCAAGAAGGTCTCTGAATCAATATTTGCACCTTAAAAAGTTTGCCCCATCCATAGCTCCTGTAAAGGATTGTCCTATGTACTGTATAATTGGCTACAGTGATTGAACAAGGAGGAATGCTTGACCCACATTAAGCCTAATAGGATTCTCTCTCAGAGATTCTAAACTGCACCACTGAGAGTTCAAGGCAAGTAAAGGTAGAATTATTGTAAAAGAAACTAGTCTGTTGAGAGAATCAGAGAATGAAACAGACATTCCAGGAAAACTAGGGTTGGGATAACATACACCCTTAATCCTGATCCCCATGAGAAATAAGGTATTAAAAATAAAATGAAAAGGGTGACAAGTAGTCACATATCCTGCCTTTTCAAGTCCCTTTGAGGTCAGGTTTTACCTAGTTTTCTGTACTTAGATCACAATCACTTTCCCTGACATATGGTTTCAACAGCCCTTCTCTTTATGTGAACTAGTGTACATTTCTATAACTTACAACTAAATGGTTGTTGGTTAAGAAATGAGCCCACTGAAGGCAAGCTTTCTGTGGGTAATATGAAGTCCCAGCTATGTGCCTAAAGAAACTGAGAGAGACATACAGATGAGCAATATGAAGAAACAAAAATCACCCCACAACACTATTTGCAAGAAAATCTACATATACAAATTCTCTTGGCTCATAAATATGATTCATACTCAGCTGCTTCTTTACCTTTACAGACCAACAGATTTTATATTTACATTTATTCATTTATTTCAAAAATAGTTACTGGGAAAATAAACAGAAAAATATCCCTAACTTCATGGTATTTGCTGACAAATCAAGCTACTGCTCTACTCAGCCACCGCCAAACAAACATCATCAAAATAAATGTAAAAATGTAATAGACTCTTCTCTATGTTTCAGTCTGTTTCTCTTTTTGTTGTTTTTTGCTTTTTTAGATTCCACATATAAATGAAATCATATGGTATTTGTCTTTCTTTTGTCTGACATATTTCACTTAATATAACACATTTTAGGTCTATCCATGTTGTCACAAATAGCTAGATTTCATTCTTTATGGCTGAGTAATATTCCATTGTATATATATATACACATCTTATCCGATCATCTGTTGTTGATGGGCACTTAGATTGCTTCAGTATCTTGGCTTTTATAAATAACACTGCAATAAACATAGGGGCACATAAGTCTTTTCAAATCAGTGTTTTCATTTTCCTCAGGGAAATATTCAGAAGTGGAAATACTGGATCATATGGTACTTCTCTTTTTATTTATTTATTTTTTTGAGGAAACTCCATACTGTTTTCCACAGTGGCTGCACCAATTGACATTCCCACCAACAGGTCACAAAGGTCTCCTATTCTCCACACACTCCAAAATTTGTTATTTTTTTTTAACATTGGTTATTTCTTGTCTTTTTTTGATAATAGCCATTCTGACTGGTGTAAGGTAATACTGGGGTTTTGCTGTTTGCCAAAGGGGAGCAGAGTAGGGGATTAGGTGAAATAAGTTAAGGGGACTAAGAGGTATAAACTTCCAGTTATAAAATAAATAAGTCATGGGGATGAAAAATACACCTTAGGGAATATAGTCAATAATACTGAAATAACTTTTTGTGGTGACAGGTAGTAAATACATTTATGGTGAGCATTTTGTAATGTATACAACTGTGAAATCATTATGTTATACACCTGAAACTAATATATTATACATAAACTATTTCAGTTTTTTAAAAAAATCATAGAGTATTATTTTTGAAATAATCCTCTTTACAAAATCATAGCATTTCAGGATCGTAATGAATCTTGTTGTCCTGTTACATTCAACATGTTTCTAGCAGGACACTAATCGCAATATGTTTACCACCCACCCCCCCCACACATATCTTTTATTGTAGGAAAATATATATCTGTTTTGTCTTATTCTTCAATTTGAAGTTGCAGAGATTAATACAACCTAGTCCAAAATAAGAATTCCCTAAATACATGCTGAGTGAATAAATGGATCCAAATTAAAAACTAAGTAAGGGACATGCAACTTAAAAATCAATTCCAATTCTGGGACACCTGGGTGGCTCAGTCAGTTAAGCATCTGCCTTCGGTTCAGGTCATGATCCCAGGGTCCTGGGATCCAGTCCCACATCAGGCTCCTTGCTCAGTGGGAAGCCTGCTTCTCCCTCTGCCTCTGTCTGCTGCGCCCCCTGCTTGTGCTCTCTTTCTCTCTCTCTCCGATAAATAAATAAAATCTTTAAAAAAACATTAATTCCAGGGGCGCCTGGGTGGCTCAGTCATTAAGCGTCTGCCTTTGGCTCAGGTCATGATCCCAAGGTCCTGGGATCGAGCCCCACATCGGGCTCCCTGCTCAGAGGGAAGCCTGCTTCTCCCTCTCCCACCCTCCCCCACTTGTGTTCCCTCTCTCGCTGTGTCTCTATCAAATAAATAAATAAAATCTTTTAAAATTTTTTTTAAAAATTAATTCCATTTCTACCATATATTTTCTTGACTGCTCTTAAAAGGAAACTTCTAATGATGCCTAGAGAGGTACTGAGACGTTCTTGATTTTATAATTAGGGATTACTTATTCTCCACTGGAAAAAATATTGAACAGCCATATTCTTATCAGGGGGAAAAGTGATTTAGTTAAAACTTTCCATCTCAAATGTGCCAGCACACTCA